AAAAGGGTTTTTCTGAGAGAGGATTAAAATATTGAAGGAATTTGATTGAAACTTTATAAACGTTATACAGTGAAAGAGATTAGCATGAGAATTGCAGTAAACAAAGGCCATTATAAGTTCTAATGACATGGTCACATTCATATAATGTGATGCAAAAAAAATATTGACCATTTGAATGTTTACTTGATACTGATACAGAAAATTTGATATATATCACAATTGATTATTTTTTCATAGCTTTGTCTCCCTTTTATACATGTCATGTGTTAAAATAGTCAAGCTTGCAGTTTCCTCTGGTAGCTCTAATTTCACTTGTTGCTCTTGTCAAAAAAGGCCAATAACGATTTATGATCGACCTACACGTACATGTAACCTAAATATTATATTTGAACATGTGTGTCATAGAATAATTGTATCAACTACTGTTCATTTACTGAATTGTGCACTTTATATTTATCAACCGGCAACACCCTTCACTCATTGAAGTATCTGCCCCGAAATAGAAAAAATAGTTACTTGATCCTTCATACGTCCCAACTGCAGTGCCTTCAGCACTTTGATTTATAATATAACTATCGCGGCCGTCATGGAATTAAGCTTTTTACATTGCGGCCTGAGTCACGCATATTAAAAACAGTGTAACAGCGGCGTAAGTTCATAAGACTATATCTATTCCTGCATGTTTTCTTCACGTTAATTAATACCTGAGAACCCTCAAATACTTTCATTTTAATAGGTGAGAGTATAATTTCCCGAGAGAAAGCGAGGATAGGAAACTAAGAATATCAAATGGAAAAACCTTTTTTCTGAAGTCTATTACAAGTGAGAATTTTTACTAACTATTTACAAGGGGTTATACTTGTGCTGACATGTAGTACATATTTCCAATAAATCAGGAGGTGAATAAGTATATCCTTTCACTCAAAGCAATACATTTGAATCCTACCAAGAAAGTTACATTTCTCTATGTGTTAAAGCTTTCCAGTCAGCCTTACTTTTTCTAGAACAGATCAGAAATTTTATTAGTTTATGCGAATTTATTTAAATTTGATTGTGCTGAAAACTAGCTTATATAACAATCTTTATGTCACAGGGTCATTTGTCATTATATATACCGTTCCTGGAACCAACCAGTACTATGCAGGATATGTATATTTTTACGTTAACAACGGCATGCCAGTGACGGGAAATGAACACACGTGACCAACAATCATTAGAACGTTCACCACTCGACCACACAGTCACGCATTTTACTAATATCACCATGGCATTGAACTTCTCCATCCGGTTAAATAATGTAGCATCGTGTAAAAATCTACAAGCAAATAGGGCCCGTAAGTCTCGTTTACTTTCACTTTCGATTTACCACTTCCGGGTACATCGGCAGACTTATTTACCGTTACGCATATAGGTAACCCGAAGAACTCGACAGAAATAGAAGTTAAATTTGTTTCGGTCCTCTTCAGATTTGAAGGAATGGAAAGCTAGGGTCAAAAAATGCAGGTAGGTCAATTATCTGACGGAAAAACGAGGGATTTATAAAGTTTAATAAAACTAGTTTATTTTCGGATAGTGACAATTGTTTTGGATGTTTTGTCAAGTTAGTGAATTCTAGTTGTTTAGCGTTTAGTATTGTTTTAAACCTACTGCTGTGAGAAATTTATTCAAACCATTTTAACTTATTGAAATAAACAATGGAGAAACACTTTAATTCTAGTGTATATTAAAGTTATACAAAATTCGGACATTGCACAGTAATTCGGATAATTCTTCCCTTCCATTTTATCAAGATTTCAATTACTTACATTAGTATAATTAAACCCAGGTCCCAAGTAAGAGTTTTGATTATTAAATAGAAATTAGATGGATAGATCATACATTTATTAAAAGTTTAATAGTATTTTTCCATTTCTAACTATGGAGAAAAGTATCAAGGCACTAACACTTCTTTTTTTTTATTCTCTTCCTTTTTCAATTACATATACATGTTAATATGGTACCAAGCAAATTATGATTGAATTAATAAATTAATATTTGAATAAAACATTTCAGATGTGTAGACAGGGAGGTATATGACAAGTATAGAATATACAGTTGTTCACTATGGACCATTAATCAACTGTTTGCACTGCCTATGATCCTAAAATATCTATACATCAAAGGTAAATACATGTAAAATAATTGTTTAATTTTAGTTGAGATCGGAGAGATAAACAATTATCAAAATATTTTAATAATTTTGGATTTCACTGCATGATAATTGATAAGTAAATAAAAAATGAAAAACAGTCATGTTTCACATTCAAGAAGATCAATATTTTTGACTGTTATATATTATGTGTTGATGTTTATCTTTAATGTTTATTTACTTCAAATATGAAATTTAATCATGACCAGCTTATTAAGACTAATGTAAATATCATTTCTAGTGTTTTACTCAGTGAAATATATTCAGGTCTTACACTTGTAACAACATAGTTATTGATTTTTCATTCTGCAGATAAAAAGGAAAAAGATGAAGGAGAATTTGTCCATGAAGACCTTTATTGCAACTACCATCTTCCAGTTCCTTAATTTGACAAGCTCACAAATTTGCATTCAAAGCTTTGATATCAAGCTGACCATTTTTCAATTAGAATATGAATTATAACTCTATGATAATTTGTTCATGTTAATTTTCAAAGTATTTACATTTGTAAAAGGAAATATTCTTATTCTTGTATCAGTAGACATCACAGTGTAAAGTTACACTGTCTAAATAACTAATAATAATTTCCAGTGCTTTCCTGAAGTTTTTCTTCCACTGGAATATCAGTGTGATATATGTGCTAAGCAGTGCACTATAAATTGTGTAAAAATAAAAGTTTATCAAACTTATGAACTGTTTTTTGTTTCTACTATTTGGCATATATTTATAGCAGTACTTGATCATAAGGGTTCATCTGAAAAATAAGTGTCACTGTGTACTTTAATTCTCTAACAGCAATGGCTAGATTGCTTGAATATACAGGCATTGACTATATTAAATACTATGCATGTCATTTGAATTTTGTCTGTCCTGAAATCGAAACAGACACTATCTAAATAATATTGAGTTCTTGACAGCTCTTCAATGACTACATTTACCCACATGTACATGGACAGAAGTTAAAAGCATTGTGTGTTTTTTTAAAACATTGACAATTTTGAAACAGTTCCAATGGGTATATTAATGTATCAGTGATGTAATTGTTTTGTATCAAGTGCAAACCCTAAGTGTTGCATGTTTTGTATAGATAATTCACTTTTGGTCAAATGTCAACAGGTTCAATACATTATAAAACAGGTAATTTGCAACCCAAAAAAGTATATGGTATGTAATAACTGCCCCTCTGATACTAAAATCTTTCAAGGAATGCAGAATTGATAGTCTTCTCCAATTTTGTGATTAAGAGACAGACTTGGGCTTTGGGCTTTCAAGGGCTAGCAAGCTAGTGTTTTGCTACAGAATACTCAACACAGATGAATTGCATCAATATTGTTTACTCTGGTATTACTACCTGCCATGTACAATGCAAATCATGGCTTTTCTAAGAGCAGTGAAAGGCTATAACTGGAAGGAAATTTACACATCTTGCCTCAGAAACAAGTTTTTCTTTGAGATGATTTTTATGATATTTAAATGATGGTTATAGATTACATTACTTTTACAATTGCAGTGATCATGGTGATAGTATGAAATGAAACTCAATCAAGATAGAAACATTTTAATGCAGATCATTTATCTTTTTACCATTCTTGTCACCTTACAAGTCTATTTAAAACATATTTATCTTAACTGTTTTGAAACTACATGATGCCTGGTTGAAACTGTTTTGGACAGCCATTTGCAGAAGATAAATTGTCTTTTGATGATTAAGTTAATAAGTTACAAATGACAGGTTATTTATTTCTCACAAAGACAGGTTATTTATTTCTAACAAAGACAGATATTTTGTTTAACATTTTTACACTGACATATATCTTTGAAATGTCTCCAACCTTAGTTTTTATTAGAATACAAACATTCAGTTAGACAGTTTACACAAGACATGGAGCTTTAAGAAGCTTTAATTCAGTCAAAATCTGTAATGGACTGCCATGTCTCTACCACTATGTACTCCAAGACTGTGTATGGACATTTCTTTTCAACTATGTCTGGTGGTATCACTATTTGGTTTCTAATCTGATGGTGAATACTCCAAAATAAATCAAGAGCCATGACAAGTACTCAAGATCCAACCATGAAATCACATACCTGCATATAAAGAAAATTTTTCATGAGTTGAAAGCAATAATAATTGGTCAGCTATAAATTTTGATCATTTTCATATTGTTTTGAATAGAAAATAATGTTGAAAAGGAAGAAACACTTCGTGGTGTCCTAGTTTTTGTAGATTTGCTTTGACAACTGATCTTTAAAAATGTGATAGTGACTAAGTTCTTTTAACTATTTACTGAACATGATTTAACTAAAAAATATGACCCACTTACTTGAGAAAAATACTTTAAACAGCATTTTACCTGAATTAACTACAAATGCCATACTGTTTGTTTATTTAGCTACACTGTATAATTATTTACAAAAACGAGAACATTATGTTATACAAGAATATTTACTTTTCATTAATGTAGTTGAAGTAGCTTTAAGTATATATTTCTTACCAAAACGATTTTACAGCAGAGCATGCATGTGTATTTACATCGGATACTGACGTCTTTCATCTCACCACTGTCCTCAGTCTAAATATCTACACACGCAAAATATTTCATTAAATTTTATGACAATTTAAATTGGTACTATACAGCTTGACTATTTGTGCTATATAAAGATAATAATAATAATAAACAATATTTTCAGTTAGAAGAAAATATATTCAACTAAAACACACCGATAATCATATTGAAATGTTTTATCCGAAATATGCGCTGTCCGAAATTTCTAAATATTATATACTTCTGAGAGATATATCAGGTAGCGCTATAGAAAATTGATAAAATCAAATTCACCAGTCTGAAGTTAGATGCGAATGATGATGTATCAAATAACAAATTTATTAGATTTACATGGACATGAAAATATTACAACATTTATTGTGATATACTGAATTCGAAATGACACACCCACCTGAAGATTATACGAAGTTGTCTTTCATTGATACTTGTTCACAAGATGAAACTATTTGCATTTCGTTACAAAACAAAAAACTCTGCCAATTTTCACATATCCTTTGTTTTTCCGTGTAAGTTTTACTTTCCCACCGGCATACAAGTATTATCCAATATAGCTAAGCAATGTTGTTGATATTTGTTTGTACCCGGAAGTGCAAAATATCGTGAAATCTCGCAAGTCACATGACGAGACTTACATACCCTATTACCAACATCAATTGAAATGATTTAACAGCAACTGACAGAATATTTTTTTCTCATATAAGGAAATATCGCGAAAATATTTATTTATTTTTTTATTATTATGTACATGTATATAAAATATTTTAAGATTTTGTATAATATATGTCTTATCGATATCAACTATAAATATCAGATCAAATTCAATCATTTATATAATTACAACTTGTTTTTAATTGTGCAATATCACTTCAATTTTACTAAGGTTTGATATTCTGATGGTTACCATAGTCGACAAAAATTTTCACACGACTTGAAATACGGACGCATTAATTATCATGTTAAGGATATATTTTACCATCAAATTTACATATAATAAATATTTTTGTTTACTTTAAGATTTATCTTGTCAGTTGTACGGTTTAAAAAACATCGCAGATCTTACCACATCATTTAGAATTTTAGACTTTTCTTGAAATCAATAATTTGTTGTAATTTTATATAAAAATGCATAAACGTCTACCATGATTGTAGTTAATATCTAAAATTGGGATATTCGTAAGGCGTTAAACTGAAGTAATGGCGCTATTTGGTTTTCGTAGTACAGTATGTCGATCCTTCTTAATGTGGAATGTAAAATATTTATATAGACCATATTGCAAAATCCATATCGATCGGATTACTTTATAATACAGTTGTTTACGCAAAGCAAGTTTTATGGGATTTAACTTTACTTGTAAAAATTGTTTTCTAAAAGAATATAACATTAATTTAGTACATGTATTGAAATGGCTGTAGCGGAGGGTATGGTTTCTGTTGATGAAAAATCTGAAAACGTAGGAGATATTATGTGTAAACCGTGCATTTTTGATGGAAATGTAACATCAGCTAAATGCCGTTGTAATGAATGTCAAGAGAACATGTGTACGGAGTGTTTTCAGCATCATCGGAGGGGAAAGATGTGTAGGAACCATACGTTTTTGGATACTGCTTGTATTGATGGTTCGTCGGCTGTGGACGAAGAATTAGGAGGTTTGCAAGATATATGTCCGAAGCACGATCAACAACCTTTGACATTTTATTGCGCAACGCATCGAGTGATTGGCTGTAGAGACTGCATAATCTTCGAACATAAAACATGTAAAGTATCAGATATATCGGATAAGACGATGAGTTTAGATAATGTAGATAAAAATGAATACTTAGACGAAGCCATAAAAGAGATTGAAAACTGCAGCATCGAAATAAAAGAATACGAAAAGGAGATAAAAACAAATATGGACAGTACACATGCTACACATAAAACATTCACCAGCGACGCCGAACGCTTTAGGAAAACAATAAAGGAAAAGATGGATTACTTGATTTTTGATGCTTGTGAAGAGGCAAACGATACAAAAACCGAGACTTTAAGATGTTTAGAGAAGCTAGAAGTAAATGCATCAAATATGAGAGAAGAGCTATCTGCAATTAAAAGGACAATGGAGATAGAGCAAAATGATCCGATAAGGTTATTTGTCACGGCAATACGTTCGCGAAAAAAAATGAAAGATATAAAGGAAACTTTTGCTAGATTTGAAAAAAGTAATAGAGCTAGAACATTTACGTTCATAAGACAGGAAACCATAGGAAATGTGATTGAAGGATGTAAGGGAATTGATTTAATTCAAAGAATTCCAGGTAAAAAAATCTTATAATTCTGAACTATATTAATTAAGATGTCATAAATCGGTTCGAATTTGTAGCACTAAATTTTTCATTTACTTGAATCATGTCTTTCACGACCTGTTTTTCGAGTTGTTTTATTAAAGATTCTTTCCTTCCATTCCAGATGCCGAACATGACAAGCGAAACGTAAGTCCTTGAACACCTCTTTGTTTAAGATGTTTGATTTTCTTTCCCCAATCTTTTCTTTAAAGCATGTAAGTTATCAAAATGGCGTTAGCATAGTCGTTATATTAGATAAAGTTGGAAAGAGCTTTATAAACATCACTATAATTATAAAGTTTAAATTTAAGTAGTACTGTAATTTTTTCTACAGTTTGCTTAAAACAATTAAGTTATTTTTCTTATTTATTTTTTTCACAGGTTAACAGAAAACCTAGGTATGTATTGTTGCCCTATTCCTTATTATTAAAAAAATATATTTTGTCAACATTTTGTAAGACGCAATTAATTTAAGCAAATGCCAATCAACCATATCAACAACTTAAAAGGAGACACAGGCAAAATTTTCATTTCTTAGTTTTGAATTTTTCATTAATTATTCTGTAAATGCTCTCAAAATGAATATATTAAGCAGTCAAAGGAACCGTCAAAGGAACAGAACTTTTCTCTATATAAAGAATAAAATGGTGGTTTCCTAACTTGACCCGCGTGGGTCAGGTTAGAGCGCTAGCATTTCACAATAGTTGTCAAAGTTAACTCTGGAAACGTTAAAGAACATGTCAAATGAATGACTAAGGCTTGTTTCAGTCATACAATATCCACTATATCTGTTATTGTAACATCAGGGGTTTGTTCAAGTCACCTGACTTGTTTTAAACCTATTTGGTGATTCTATTGGCGTCTAAATTTTGTATAACATATATAGATATATTTACTCTTCAAAACCAAAATATATAGAATTTAAACAGGAATTCATGCTGAAACTTCAAGTAAAGTCATTTTAGCGTGATTTGAGTACATAAGATCATTTTAATAATTTTTTCATTATTTTGCCTGAATATCCCTTTAAGCTACAGTCTCACTGATATCCCGGCAGAGCCCAGGAAGATGTCAGGGGTACGACCAGGAACAACCGGGGTATATCTTTTACTCTCCCGGCAACGTCCGGGATGATCGGGGAACATCCGGCATTCGACCCCGGATGGGATAAAATATTTAATAGTACCGGGGTGGTCAGGGATGATCCGGGAAGTATAGCTTTGCCGGCTTCATCCTAAGCTATGCCGGGAACAACCAGTGTCTTCCCATTTCTCTTCTATCCAGTTTTGCATAAGAATTTTTCAGAAAATCATCATGAATCACTATTCTGGAATAAAAGATATTATATTAAATAAAAATTATGTATCAATGTTATCATTTTCGCGCATTTTCTGTCCACCAGGGTTCTACCGGGGCTCTACCTGGATCGTCCTGGGCTCTGCCTGGATCGACCGGGGCTCTGTTTTGGTCAACTTGGGCTCTTCCGGCGTCATCCGGGAACGACCGGGGAAGCACCGTCATGAACCGTAGCTTCACCTGGGCTCTGCCTTGATGATCCGGAGCGCATCCTGGATGGTTAGTTGGGAATTACCGTAGTGCTGCCGGGTTTAGTGTGACTGGAACAATATTTCCAACCCGGATCATCCCGGTAACTTACGGGGATGGTCCTGGGCTCTGCCGGGAGTAAGGGAGACCGCAGCTTTATCGCTGTTCAAACAAGATAATAATATGCATTCATACAAATTCATTTATATTGAGAACTATTCTGTTTCCATCGTACTTTAAGCTCAGGCGATTATAGGATCAATTAGTAAAAAATGTAACAAAGTAATTGTAACATAGTTTCATGCATGCATACGTTTCTTTATACAGGATATTGAATGAGTGTATGTTTAATACTGAATTTATAGAACGGGTTAAATAAAATCATAGTATGCGAGTCTCCGGCGAGCATTATTTTATTTTGTTCAACGAGTTCAATAAATTTAGTATTTAATATACACGAATATAATATTCTATTTATCACATATATAAAATAAGAATGGTAAACTGATAAAAAGAGTCATTTTTCATTGACGCGCCTATAGTGCAACGCTAACTATGGAACAGAATTAGTGCATTTATTCCATCTTGCTTTATGATATTGGGACTTACATTATGCTTGCTTCTATACTTCTTTATGACAACGAAAACCTGCGTTTTGCTGAATTCAATCATGCCTTATTATTACTGAATGCACTTTCATGTAATTGCAACCTTATGTGTTCCCTACTAAACCATCAAACTCACATATTTTAATATGCTATATGTTTAATTGCATCTTTTATAAAGATCAACGTATTATGTTTGGTGTTTAAGATAACATTCTTTGCTTGTTCTTGATATAACTAAATGTCACATGGTTAGTTTCTGTCAGTACTTTTAATTTGCCTTATATTGTCGACATTATGTCACAATAAATTATTAATTTTGATCAATAATTGGCGAATTTGATGTGTCTTAGCATTCATATGCTTCAATTTATTCACTGATTACAAATATAATGCAATATAGGATCACTGCGCATCGACAACGAAGATGACAACGATAGCGATATTATAGTCGCATGTGACAGTACACACTAAGCAGTTGGCAGTAAGCATTATGCGAGTTGCAATAATTTGTGTACGTATTATGACAGCAGGTGTCGCTTTATCGGTGCATCCCGTTATTTTCCGGATGATCCCGTATTTTGGCACGTGGAGTAAAACAAAGTTACGTCCCCTTTATACAGGGGCGTATACAGAACAGTGTTAGTTGGAGACTGGCATGTAAAGGGAAAATTTACTGGAAAACAAGAGAACACGATGCGACAGACGAAAAGTGCGTGATTTTAAAGATTCCGCCAGTATGTGAAAAAAATGTTATAGATTTCTCAAATAACTCATCCTACAAGTGGCAACTCACCTCTTATATAATTGTTTACATTTCTTTTTGGGCGTGTGTGATAGTCGTATGAGCAATAGTGAAATTGAATTTTAAGATATACTATGCTCAAACTTACGGTGGCACAAAGGTGACATGTGTGTGTTTTTATTTATCTCATGCGCACGAGATACTATGTCGTGGCCACGGGTTACTAAGTCGTGACCACGAGATAGTTAAGTCGTGGGAACGAGATACTATATTGTGGCCACGAGTTACTTAGTCGTGGCCACAAGATAATTAAGTCGTGGGAACGAGATGACTAAGTCGTGGCCACGAGAGGAATAAGTCGTTGGAACAAGTTACTATGTCGTGGCCACGAGAAAGTTTAGCGGTGGCCACGAGAAAGTTAAGTCGTGCGAACGAGATATTTAATAACCAATCAAATTACACTATTTATATGAATTTTCCTAACAAGGATGCCCCTACTTCTCCTGTCCGTAAAAGTACGTACATTCATACAAGTTATTGATTGGTCAAAGATTTAGCGCCATTGTGACCCTGATTTCTGACCAAATTGCCTAAAAATTATTAGATGTCATCTACTGATCTTTTTAGGTTATATAAACTACAGCTTATTCTTTCTAAATCATTCATCGATCAGACAATGATTTTACATGAAGTGTCATGTTTGTCTGACCTGTGACCTCAAACATCCTCATAGGATATCTACTGTCCATGGGCAATGTCCTTACCCAATAAAATAAATCAGGACTAAGTCCCTATCAAATGTTAACAGGCCGTTGTACGTATAAAATGACCAATTCTATCATAGAATTATTCCAACAAAGGGCTATAACTAAGTCAAAATTAATGTATGGTTTATGGGCCTGATGATCCTTAAGACATGTATCAAGTTCAAAGTGAACACTTCAGTATTTTCAAAAAATTAATGTTGCACGTAAATCTTTAAACAGAAATTTCCTAAGTTTAGAAAATCATGGTGTAATCTGATTTAATTGTTTCGTCTGCACGACACAGTTCTCTCGTTCCCACGACTTAAACGATCTAGTAACTCGTGGCCACGACTTAGTAGTTAGTACAGAACAAACATGATTTTTTTCTGCAGAATAAAATAAATATAATTTGGTTTCATACAAATATTGTGCTTTCAATCCTTTACACTGTAAGTGGGCAGTATGGATATACATTCGTAAACGTATAGTGTTATTACAAAAAAAAATATATGGAAGTTTCTTTTAAAGACAGACACAACTTTACTTGACCCGTAATAAGGAAAGCAGATTCCTATACATAATGTGTATGTGTTTAATTTTTATTTTCTGCTCGCAAGATCAGTAAATACATAGCTAACATTCACGGTCTAACACAAAATTTCCTCACAGACCTAACAACGCAAAGTAGTTCTCACTCAAAACTGCTTAAAAACCAGCAATTTAAAGAAATAATAATTTTTAATGTAGGCATTGAACGAATTACAGTGCATTAAAAGTTTACATTAGTCAATAGAAATATGAGGTTACAATCACAAATTTCGCGGATGAATATCTTTTTTACCCAATGAAAAATGTACCACTATTTCCGTAAAGCTTAATCAATGAAAATGCTATTTAGCTATGTCGATTACTGAATACTTCAGAGCGTAGCACACGAATAAATCTGACTGTCGGACTGTTTTGGCGTGAAGATTTTCGCTAAATTATTTTCATCAGTGTTTAACAGCAGGTTTATCGTGAACAAAATACCTCGAAATAAATAAGGATTACAAATACGAAATGAAAATTCTCAATTTTAGAATTACAATAATATTATATTTGTTTTTATATACGCTACATACGTATTACTTCACTGTGGTGCAGAGGTAGCGCGCTCGTTTTGGGTGTGAGAGGCCTGAGGTTAAAATCCTTGTCGAGGCAACATTTTTTTTTTGAAGTGGCTTTTTTTAGGAAGTTGCCACGATATGCAAGGATAAAGTGTGGCTGTAATAAAAAATGAAAAATGATTTTTGATGCAACTCTAAGCATGCAAAATTCCATATGTATCAATCACAAACTGCATGTTAAACGCAGTCCCTGCGTAAGATGAATAATAGTATATATTATAAAAATAAACTTATACAGGAAAGATCAGAAAATACCACAGAGCATGCAGCCCTTTGATTATTTAAATAAAACATTTCTTATTTAGTAAGAATTTTATAGATTTTAATAAATTTCTGTGATAAAATATGTTACTGAAAGATGTGCATAGTATATCATTAAGCACAAATGTATGTGAATGTGGTGGTGTG